TTATTGTGTAGTGTGTGTGTGTGGGGGGGGAGGGGTTTGCGATACTGCTACCCTTACTTCTGTGCTGCTGCTGGCGGTGGCGCTGCCTTCAGACCTGGGCAGCTGGAGAACGGCGGCTGCTGGCTGGGAACCCAGCTCTGAAGGCAGAGCCGCTGCCAGCAGCAGCAAGGATAGCATGGTATAGTATTGCCACCCTTACTTTTGCTCTGCTGCCGGCAGAGTTGGGCCCTCAGTCAACAGCCGCCACCCTCCAGCCGCCCAGCTCTGAAGGCAGCAGCGCAGAAGTAAGGGTGCTATGGTATGGTGTTGCCACCCTTACTTCTGCATTGCTGCTGCTAGGGTGCTGACTTCAGAGCTGGGCGCCTGGCCAAGGGCCACCCCACTCTGAAGGCAGCACAGAAGCAAGGGTAGCAATACTGCAACCCCCTAAAATAACCTTGTGACCCCCCTACAACTCCCTTTTGGGTCAGGACCCCCAATTTGAGAGAGGCTGGTCTCCTGCCATGAAAGCTGGTCTTTTGTGTGCACACAGAAGACCAGATTTCATGGTCCATGACGTGTTTTTCATGGCCGTGAATTTGGTAGGGCCCTAACTGTGAACTCTGCATCTTACATCAAATATGCACATCATAATCAATATCAGGAGTTCTTAGACTGTTGCTAGACAAAGGTCTTTTCAACAGAGCTCTTGATAATTTAATAGGCAACACACAGTTTGTCTCACTCATCTGAATTTTGTATCCTTTAGGGGGATATTTTACCAAGTTAGTTTGTAGCAGACCTCAAAAATAATTTAAAAAATTAAATCTCTTTATATAACTGAATTAAAAACCATTCTAGTAGGGCAGCTCACGCTGAAAGTAACATGTGTATCCTCATTCTACTTTTAAAACTAAGAAATAGTTTCAAATACCCGTCCCAGAAATGCTGTTCCCAAACTTGAGTGAGGTTTAGTTGGGAGTCTGACTCTAAGCCAAGCAGGTGTGTGCTCCACTGGGCTGAAGAATGCTGTTGTGTGGAAAGATCCTGTCTGGACTTCAAACCCTTAAGTAAAAAAGGGCAAGGTTGCACAATCCTTCTCTGAAACTGCTCAAGGAAAAGATGATTTCTAGGTGTCCTCATCCAGCGTGCAGACACCCATGAAGCACCTGGGGAATCACAAAGATGCATATTACTGTGTCTAGTTCAATTCTAGATAAGGAATCTCTTGCATTTGTTCATAACAAGGCTTGCTTTTCCAGAGTTTTTTCTGGATATTAAAAGTGATTTCTAGAGTGGATGTACACATAAATCCTACTCTAATTTTCACATAGCCTATACTTGTACTGCTAAAAACAGCTATACATGCAGGGTACTCTGCTGTCCACTCTCTGCCAGGACCAACTGGGTTCCCTCCCTCATAGGAGAGATCACTGCCAGGTGGACACTGAGTGACATTATTTAATCAGTTTGATGAACCAAACACCATTTTAAAAGAGAACATAACAAAACAAATCGGCTCCCCTCTTCTTTATAACATAACAGTAAATTTCATAAATTCTTTAGCACCACAAGATTGGTTGGACGTCAGTCTAAGGAATACATCTGTTGGACAGTGTCTGTTTTATACCATGGTAATGACATAGCTTCACTTTGAGTCACAAGGGTATTGGCAAAGGAAAATTTGTATGTTTAAAGTCTTGCTGTTGCCATGTTGGCACTACAGCCCCATCTATACTGTCCAGGAAAAACACGTTACTGCACTTTTCTAGTGAACCACTCATAAATATAGTTCGTTAGAGAAGTTCTAGCATGTGGCCTGATATCCTGAATGATTCAGCACCTTTGAGGCTCATGTTTTTTTTCTTACTACTTTTTACTTATAGCATGGTATGGTCAATATATTACAGTACAGATAGGCTATAAAAGATGCATATATTTTACAAATGAAAATAAAAATTATCTAACAATACAAATTCACTGACTAAAAGAGTGGAGAAATATACTTTCTTATGTGCACATTTATAATTACAAGTATTTTTACACTATCCATTAATAACATCTAGGAGCTGCAAATCAAAGATTCAGGATTGTATTTGGGCTAGTCACTAGAAATATTCCCAAAACTATTTTTCCCATTCAGATAAGTTTTGCTACAAAATAGCTGTATCTCCATGTAACTGCAGTAGGGTAATATTTACATATCTACTAGCTTGGATAATACAAGCAAGACAAAAATCTCAAAATGGTTATTAATATGTGATCCTCAGCGCAATTGTGCAATCTTTCTTTGTCTTTCTAGAATCCCTTTTCCTAAAGAGCTTTAAGGCTCCATCTACACTCTGGTTTCCCTTGCGGTTGGATACTGTGTTTAAAGATGGCTTATACAGAAGGTTTTTGGAAACATGTGGGCTGTAGTCCACGAAAGCTTATGCTCTAATAAATTTGTTAGTCTCTAAGGTGCCACAAGTACTCCTGTTCTTTTTGCGCATACAGACTAACACGGCTGCTACTCTGAAACCTGTCATGGTGTAGATGGGGCATAACATTTTTAAAATTAAGGTTAGGTTATAAACCCTAGAAGTACCAAATCCATATTACGTGCATTTTGAAGTAAGTTATGAGATACAGATTAGTAAAATATATTAAACAACCTCAGAGGCTACCATGACAAAGCTACGTCTAATCACTCTTCCCACAACACTGATATCCACAGGACCCTGCACTGCTCCGGGTAGAGGGGCTGGGGGGAGAGTTTGTCACTTTTCAGCTGACAGCAAGGCGGCTTACAGCGGTGCTTAATTTGTAATGAAAGAGGAGCCGGGACACAAGTAATGTTCTACTTTAATAGCTGACAAGGCAAGCCGAGCGGTGCCGGGGCTATTAAGTGCCAAGCCCAGGGGTGGCGGGGCTTAGCCCTGGCACACATTAAGCCCTGGCTTTTAGGGACTGGCCCTGCAGCAGGCAGCAGAGAAAACGCCCGATCCCAGTCCCAGAGCGGCAGAGCCAGAAGCAGAGGCCGGCCCAGGCCACGCCAGCGAGCTGGAGGCCCCGGGGAAGCGAGGCTGCTCTGCCCAGCGCCCGGGGGGGACCCTGCGAGATAGGGCCGCTCTGCCCACACGGAGCCCAGGCCCCAGCTGGCAACCCCCCGCCCTAGGAACGGAGAGACCCGGCAGCGCCGGGCCCGCTCCCCCGGCGGCGAGGCGAGGCCCCGCTTCCCCTCACCTGGCGGGGCCGGGCTCTCCGCGGCGCCCCACGTCCCGCTGCGGTGGCTCAGCTCCCTTGCCCCCGGCTCCTCCGCGTTCCGCTTCAACGTGGCAGCCGGAGCGCCGCCCTCGTCAGCCCGGCTTCCGGCACCGAGACCCCGCCCGGCCGGCCGGCGCCTTCCGGGCCGCGCAGCTCCCAGCGCCAGGGGCAGGCGGGCCCGGGTTGCAGAGGGGCCTAGCCCGTGCCCGTCCAGGCGGCCTGCCGAGCTGTCACTACAACCCCGGCCAGGGCAGCCCGGCTCAGGCCCCTGCGGCGGCGGCTACACGGGGGAGTTTTAATAGACCCCCTAATGATGGAGCAGCTGGATGGCTGCCCTCACCCCACGGGAAGTAAGGGTGCTGCCCCCCTTGAAGTGGTTTCCATTATACAGCAGGTTTAGTTTGGTTCAGGGGCTCTCAGTACCACTATACAAATGGTTCTAGCAGCCCTGCCCAGCAGCGGAGCCCTGAAGGAATGAGATATTTGTCCCTTCTCCTTTCTTTGGAAAGAGACCCACAACCTTATAGAAGATGAGGCCCCAACGTACTTGCCAAGTACAGTTCTGCAGCCTCACCTTTGTTTCTGATCTGTGACCAAATTCCACTGCCAAAATGTTCTGCTATTCAGTACAAGACCCTAGCATTGAAGGCACAAAGTAAGTCGTGGGCAGCTGGCCCCCTTCACCATCGTTTGCCTCTCCACCGCAGAGCCAGACCAGCCCCAACAAGTGCAAAGCGTTTTGAACACCTTTAGTGGGGTGAATGACTGGGATTTGCCGTTTTCATGGAAAAGTCACATTTCTCCCTCCATGCTGAATATTATGTGACTGCTACTAGTATAATTCCCCAGGTGAAAACAAGGGATGGTTTCCTAACTAACAGCAGTGTTATGAGGCTTAGAGCTCATTTGTGTTTGAGGCACTTATTCTACAGCAGTGAGAACAGAGAATTAATAGAAATAAAGCCAAGACACCACATATTTAAATCAAGGGCAGCATATCATGTTTATTAACAATACAAATGAAGAGGATTTTACAACAGCCTCCAAAAGCAGTCTCCCAAGATCTACAGGTTGCAGCTGAAACAAATGCTTTGAGACTGATTTCTTGCCTTCACCACTACTTTTTCCACTATAAAAAACATTACATCAGCAACTAGATTACTTTAACCCCCTCAATGAAAAAGAGGAAACAAATTAAACAATTTTCAAGTATCTTCGTTAAAGGTGAAAGAAGAAATTCAGATGGAACATAGAAACTCTTCACAATTACCTGAAAAGTAAAAAAGCATATTAGATCTTTGACAATATAGATACAAGTCTAATTCAGTGCAGATTAACATCTACTTCAACATTCTTAGGGGTCTTCGCTCAATAAGCCCACAACTTCAGTAAATGTTCCTAAATTCCCTAGACCTGAAGAACAGCTCTGTGTAAGCTTGTCTCTTTCCCCAACAATAATTGGTTGAATAAAAATTACCTCACCCATCTTGTCTCTGCATGTTACCAAGCTCAGTAACAGTTCAGTAAAGCCCACAGTCTATTACAACCACAATTAGGATGTCCTCCCAGTAGTGTGTAAACAATTTTTTGTATTTCTAGAAACAGACTCGTGCAATTTTTACAGGTTTATTTTAGAAAGCATGCTCATTACTGTCTGGTTCGGTTTATTTTAAATTATCCCCTTGTCATCTCCAAGACCTGGGGTCTGAATATACAAAATAAACTCCTAACAAACACAATGGGTCTAACAAAAATAAAAAAGAATTCAGAATCAGAAACAAGGTCAGACCCAAACTAGTTGCACTGAGGTACTATAGTACAGACTAATATGCTGTAATACACTGTTCTGAGACACAATACCAGGCACAAACTGAATCAGCAAACAAAGAAATTAACAAAAAAGCATTCATTCTTACCCACATGTCAACAAGTGCAGTCAGAAAAGTCTTAGTTCACCTTTCACAAGTCAAGAGCAATAATTTAATGCTGGGGAGGGAAAAGGAGAAGTTCTTTTGTTATATATGCAAACCGAATGAATTCCAGAAGTGTATTTTATGTTTTTCTTAATCTGCAAACTGAACTGACTACCAATGTTTTAAAATGTAGTTTGAATTTTTTACCCCATGTCCTCATCCAGTCAAACACTAATCACAGTGAGTCATGATGTGAACAGCAGTGAAAGGTTTTAATCATTGGACACTAGGCAAAACAAACACAATACATTAAAAAACTTACAATGTTCATCTTGCAAATCTTTACGCGTAGCTTTTATACATGGTTTGCCAACTCCCAATCAAGTTCTAAACTTGATAAAAATACACTTTTTTTTAAGAGAAAACCAAGTTAATTATTCTCTAGCCACATTTAAAATGTGGGAGGCTCTCTAAACCTAAGGTTATTGGGGGCTTTTATTTCAATAGTTTTAAATATTCCATTTTCACCTTTTATTCACTTTTCTTCTCT